CGCCGGGGGGGGTTGGGGGGGGGAGTTTGAGCGGAGTTCCCTTCCCTCCGACACTCGGTCCTGATGAAAACAGACTATTAGACATCAAAGGGGATGTTTAATGAGGACAAATGAAGAGGAACCTGTTTGTGTATCTCATACGGCGCTAACTGCCGCCTCGTTTGGTGTCCACGCCGCACGCCGAGGGTAATCCGCAACCAGAGGGACCATCAGGTGTATTGATTATACATTTCGCGATTCCTGCTAAATATAGCCGACATGTAAGCGCGGGATTTTCTGATAAGAGATGAAAGAAGACGCGGAAACGAAAGGGGAGAGGATCAGAGCGCCCAGCACTGCGACGCTCCTCTTCTGAGACTACGTTTTATATATATATACCGCTACCGAGCAGCAGCTGGCAAACCTCGGGCTTCCGATGACTGCAAACGGGCAGTGTGCGCACACCGGCCCGTTAGGGAGTTGTCGAACAAGCAGGCCACTAACTCGCCGAGAACCCCTCATAATGGGCACAGCGGGTGTACAGACCCGGGAACTCAGCACAGGGATGGGGGGAGCTCCTCATAATGGGCACAGCGGGGGTACAGACCCGGGAACTCAGCACAGGGATGGGGGGAGCTCCTCATAATGGGCACAGCGGGGGTACAGACCCGGGAACTCAGCACAGGGATGGGGGGAGCTCCTCATAATGGGCACAGCGGGGGTACAGACCCGGGAACTCAGCACAGGGATGGGGGGAGCTCCTCATAATGGGCACAGCGGGGGTACAGACCCGGGAACTCAGCACAGGGATGGGGGGAGCTCCTCATAATGGGCACAGCGGGGGTACAGACCCGGGAACTCAGCACAGGGATGGGGGGAGCTCCTCATAATGGGCACAGCGGGGGTACAGACCCGGGAACTCAGCACAGGGATGGGGGGAGCTCCTCATAATGGGCACAGCGGGGGTACAGACCCGGGAACTCAGCACAGGGATGGTGGGAGCCCCGCATAATGGGCACAGCGGGAGTACAGACCCGGGAGCTCAGCACAGGGATGGTGGGAGGCCCTCATAATGGGCACAGCGGGAGTACAGACCCGGGAGCTCAGCACAGGGATGGTGGGAGGCCCTCATAATGGGCACAGCGGGAGTACAGACACGGGAGCTCAGCACAGGGATGGGGGGGAGGCCCTCATAATGGGCACAGCGGGTGTACAGACCCGGGAACTCAGCACAGGGATGGGGGGAGGCCCTCATAATGGGCACAGCGGGGGTACAGACCCGGGAACTCAGCACAGGGATGGTGGGGGCTCCTCATAATGGGCACAGCGGGAGTACAGACACGGGAGCTCAGCACAGGGATGGGGGGGAGGCCCTCATAATGGGCACAGCGGGGGTACAGACCCGGGAACTCAGCACAGGGATGGTGGGGGCTCCTCATAATGGGCACAGCGGGAGTACAGACACGGGAGCTCAGCACAGGGATGGGGGGGAGGCCCTCATAATGGGCACAGCGGGGGTACAGACCCGGGAACTCAGCACAGGGATGGTGGGGGCTCCTCATAATGGGCACAGCGGGAGTACAGACACGGGAGCTCAGCACAGGGATGGGGGGGAGGCCCTCATAATGGGCACAGCGGGGGTACAGACCCGGGAACTCAGCACAGGGATGGTGGGGGCTCCTCATAATGGGCACAGCGGGAGTACAGACACGGGAGCTCAGCACAGGGATGGGGGGGAGGCCCTCATAATGGGCACAGCGGGGGTACAGACCCGGGAACTCAGCACAGGGATGGTGGGGGCTCCTCATAATGGGCACAGCGGGAGTACAGACACGGGAGCTCAGCACAGGGATGGGGGGGAGGCCCTCATAATGGGCACAGCGGGGGTACAGACCCGGGAACTCAGCACAGGGATGGTGGGAGCCCCGCATAATGGGCACAGCGGGAGTACAGACCCGGGAGCTCAGCACAGGGATGGTGGGAGCCCCTCATAATGGGCACAGCAGGGGTACAGACCCGGGAACTCAGCTCATGGATGGGGGGAGCCCCTCATAATGGGCACAGCGACTAGGAAATTCAGAAATTTGCATGTGACTCCTCCAGGGTCAGTGACACTGTGACAGTAACTGGCGGATCATCATGAAGACGGAGCTGACATTTTCAGGCGGAGACGCCGTGCACACATCTATCTATCATCTGCAGCATCCCCGCAGGTTGCAGCGTTTCTATGGTTACGGAAGAGAGCGGATGGTCCTCCTTCCACATCCCGCTTCATCTATCGCTCGGCTCTCTCACCACCGTACATAATAAATAGGACATGATCAGATCTTCAGGTTCACAGCCGGGCCTGGCGGGTGGCGGGTGATTACGCACGTGTGGAGGACTCGCAGCCTCTTCACTGAGCTGTACAGAGGAGAGAACTTGCGGGAGGGACGAATAATCTCTGAGCTCTCCGCAGGCGGCGCCGAGGGTCAGAGAGGGTCCAGTGCTCGGTGTGATATTTGCAGTCTCTGAACAAAGTCCTCTCCCAAAACTAAAGCTTA